ATACAGATACCAGGAGTTAACAACAGAACACAACACCCACCTTAAATGAGAGGGCAGGAGTGTACATCAAGAGCAGCTGTATTTAGCAGAAAAAAAGACTTGACTAGAAAAACAGAAAAAGTGTAAAACTTGTTCTAATGACTGTAAACCCACACTGTTAAATGATTCCACACTTTCAATGCAACAAAACAAAGCAGTACTTACTGTTCTTATCACACAACTCTTTTTTCAGTTTCTCAATCTTTGCTTTTCTCCTCACTGCAAATATAGACAACAGGAGTTAAGAACAGAGTCTGATGGTTGCACTGGCCATATGTTTTGTATCATTGTCAGTCTGCTGGTTATATTTAGTGCTTTTAGCAATTGCCACATTAGTACGACAGGTTTATGTAGTTTCATGGATGGCTTTAGAAGAAAAATTGATGGTAAGTCATAGTGTGTGTGTGTGCAACACACTTGCAGTCCTACTACAATCCTGTAAGGAATAAAGAGTTAAACAGGAAATAGAGCATCACTTCCTGTTCCTGTCCCACTGCAGCCCTATCCCACCTGGGGGAAACATGGCAGCCATGTGACTGCAGTAGCCCTACTGGGCAGTGATAAGGGTGGAGTAAGAGGCTGAATTCAACTTCAAAGGGAAACTAGGGAGGGCAGATTATATTAAATATCCAAAAACTGCAGCTTTTCACAGGATATCTAATGACCAAGCAGGTAGGAAGGACCTAATCTGTGGCCATCACATTGAAAAGGACTTGTATGCAATTTCAATTGTAAAATGAAGAACATTATACATTTGAAACTTTGTTAGTTTTATTTTGTATTCACAGGATCAACTCAACAAGAACCTTCTTTTTCAATGCCATTTGTGCAGTTATATTTTGATGAATCTTACATCTTGAATATATAAGATTAAGATTAATAAGATTAATAATAGTTTTGAAGACATTACTTAATACTGTGAAGAACTCTTTAACCACTGTACTGAACCTACCATCTCTTTCAGCTGCCTCTTCATTCCTACCTGTAAGTGGAGACAGACGCCAAAAAATTATTACCTGTTAAAACATAGTTCAGACATAAGATGTATGTCAGAAAAGTAAATACAGTTCCGTGAAAAAGTGATTTCCTCTATTATTGCATATTTGTCACACTGGATGTTTTCAGATCATTAGACAAAATCTAATATTAGATAAAGGGAACCTGAGTGAACAAATAACACTTTCTTATTATGATTATTTCATTTATTTAATAAACAAAATAATCCAACACCCATATCCCCACCCATGTGTGAAAAAGTAATTGCCCCCTTACACTTAATAACTGGTTGCGCCACCTTTAGCTGCAGTGACTGCAACCAAACTCTTCCTATAATTCAATATCAGTCTTTCACATCAGTTTTAGCCCACTCGTCCTCGCAGAACTGCTTTAATTCAGAAACACTGGTAGGTCTTCAAGCATGAACTGCTCATTTCAGGTCCTGCCACAGCATCTCTATTGGGCTTAAGTCTGGACTTTGACTAGGCCACTCCAAAACTTTGATTTAGCTTCTTTTCAGCCATTCTGATGTGGACTTGCTTTTGTGTTTTGGATCATTGTCTTGCTGCATGACCCAACTATGCTTCAGCTTCAGCTTACAGACAGATGACCGGACATTCTCCTGAAGAATTTTCTGACACAGAGCAGAATTCATGGTTCCTTCAATTATGGCAAGTCACCCAGGTCCTGAGGCAGCAAAGCATCCCCACACCATCACACTACTACCTACACCATGTTTGACTGCTGGTATGATGTTCTTACTGTGGAATGCTGTGTTTGCTTACGCCAGACATGATGGGACCCATGTCGTCCAGAAAGTTCCACTTTTGCACTTTTGACACATCTGTCCATAGAACATTCTCCCAAAAGGCTTGGGGATCATCCAGGTGCTTTTCTTGGTTAGCAGTGCTTTCTGCCTTGCTACTCTCTCATGAAGCCCATTTTTGCCCAGTCTCTTTCTGATTGTGCAGTCATGAACACTGACCGGCAGTTCTTTTTTTAGGATCCTTTGTGACTTCCTGGATGATTTTACGTTGCGCCCTTGAAATTTTGGCAGGCCGGCTGCTCCTGGGAAGATTGACTACTCTTCCAAGTGTTCTCCATTTGGAGATTATGGCTCTCACTGTGGTTTAGTGGGTTCCTAGAGCCTTAGAAATGGCTTTGTAACCTTTCCAGACTTATAGATATCAACAACTTATTTTCTGATCTCTTCAGGAATTTCCTTTGATCATGGCATAATGTGTTTGTTGAATCTTTGTGCTGGCAACGTGACTCTGATGGTAAAGGTCATGAGGTTTAAGTGAGGTATCTGGGGTTTATATTGAGCAGGGCTGGCTGTAGATAGACCTGGCTGTGTTCAATCAGCTGACTCTACATTCTCCTTTTAATTGGGTTGATTTAACTAGGGGGCTATTACTTTTTTTACTTTACTTTACTTTTTTTGACACACGGTGCCAGTTGGTGTTGGAAAACTTTGTTCATTAAATAAATGAAATAAGTAAAGAGAAAAAGAGTTATTTGTTCACTCAGGTTCCTTTTATCTAATAATAGATTTTTGTTGAAGACCTGAAAACATTCAGTGTCAAAAATCTGCAATAATAGAGGAAATCGGGAATGTACTTTTTTACAGCACTGTATCGTTTAAGCAGTGTGGTAAAATCTCCACAATTAAACCATATTAAGAATGAAGAATTGTGCCACTGTAGGCAAGTCTTATAAAGGGGAAAAAATAACAGAATTTCTGCCAAGGACTAGAAACTTATAAGAATATTCATAGGAAAGATAATGCTCTTGGAACACTGCATGCTTTTAATAGATTATATGGTTAACAAAGCTGGACAAAAGCCAACGTCTATCCAGGGATCATTCGTTAAGTATAAAGGGCCGTGTCTTAAATGCCACACTAAGCCCTTCCTCCAAGTCCACACCCCTGTGATGTAGAGCAAGTGTGGACCTTTAAGAATTCATGTTTCACTCAACCAAGCCTACTTGTCAAAGGTGATTCAATACCATTTAACAAATAAGTAAAGAAACAATTTAAAGATTTTATACTGTATCTTGGCACATGCAATGACATTAATTTCAAAAACAGGACAACTTACCATTTTTACTGTTATTATCTCCCTATGAAAATGAGAAGAAGAAATATTTGTTAATTAGATATTTAGTTTAATTTCTTGTGCTTATCATTTGCCTGAGAATTAGCATTGCACCTTCTGAACAGATATTTAAAATCCTGTAGCTAATCGAAGCACATTACATTTCCTCTCTGTGGTCATATTACACCTTTCTGTTAAAACTTGTTAATGGTCATTAAACTACAGAAACCAAACCTGTGGCACTCTTCTTGCTGAGATGTGTAAAGAAGCTCTAATAATTAGAAGAGTGATTGTCTTTAAGTTGTATTATTCACATGCTCTCTTAGAGTAAAGACTGATGAGAGTTTCATCAGCCTTTACTAACAACAGGGGAAACAACACACTGTGTGAATCAGGTGATTGTCATAACAAATCCAGAAGCTTAATAGGTTATTTACACAAATCAGTCTGAATGAACTATGTACTGTACACATTTAAAACAACTTCAATTTTTAAGCCTGTTTTGTTGATATTCTTGATTTTAATGCATTACAATAGCTGTCATTTTACTGAAGTAATCTCACCATTGTTCAGATGAGTCTTGTCTCCTGGAAATGAATCAGGAAAATAGTGAAATAAAAAAAAAACAATCCTTTGTAAAGACAATTTTCCCACAAAAAGTAATATTTATAAACCATTGGCCTTACAATATATTAATAGAAGAATCACAATATAAAAAATATGACGTT